CTCCCGGAGCCCCCCGAGCCTCCGGCCCCGGCCTCGCTCCGCAGCCCGCAGGGAGATGGAGTTCTGCCCGGGGCCGGGGCGCAGGGGCTCCGGGCCACTGCGGCTCCGCAGCTCTGTCCCCGCACAGCCCGCCGGGCGCCCCAGGCGGCGAGCGCTGGCTCCCAGCTGCCCTGCCAGAATCAGGGCACGGCCGGGCAGCCGCTGCGTGGAACCAGCACCTGGGAGCTCCCAAGGGCTGCTAGCCGGGCTCAGCGGCGCTCGCCGCTCCCTAGTAGAGCTCAAGAGAAACACAGAGTCGTGCCCAGCAGAGGGAACGAGCCGAAAATGCACCCAGCGGGGCTGCTCGTTCTCTGAACCCGTGTTCTCCAAGGCCGGTCTTCCAAACTTGGCCGCAGAGATCTAAACAAGCCCCAAAAGGTCAGGTTGTAGCAACTCATCCCACCAGGAAAAACATAACAAGGAAATAGCAAATTCTTGATTGTCTCTGAGGTTTTTCCATTCAATCTCAGTTTTCACCTTTCACTTCACTCTTAAGATCCAATCTTCTTTTTTCATCACCTCCATGCCATCTCAGCTCCTGTTTGGATTGTTGGGGTCTCAACAGACAGACTTGTGATCACAGATAATGATTCCTTTCACATCTTTCAACCTCTTCAGCCCAATCATCACAGTCTGCTCAAACAGCTCTTTGCTCAGAGCCTTTGGTGCAGCTCTCATTGTTATTTTGTCCAAACAAAATTGTCTATTTTGTTATGAGCAAAAATAGTACCTAAATTAAAAGGTAGTCTTCTTTAAAGCAACATGTCCATAAACTGTTCTGTAAGTTAGTTTAGTACTTTTTTGTCGTTTTTTTCTTCCACACCAACCGTGCTGGCTGAATCCTGCCCCTTTTGGGGCATTTATCTTTACAAACTGCTCTGCACTATTTTTCTTGAGACACCAAAAGCATTAGTAGCAGTCCATCTTCCTTCTGTAGGACTACAGGGATTTCACTTCCATACAAATAAGATGTTGTTGAATTTCATAGTAAACATAACTTCTATAGGATGAAAGTTAAAAATGCAACTGTGTTATGTGCCAAGGTCATAACCCTCGATTACAGCTACCACACAGATACTTGTCACAGCTTAACCCCAGCTGGCAGCCAAGCACCACACAGTCACTCACTCACTCACTCCCCCACCAGCAGGATCAGGGTGAGAATCAGAGGAGTAGAAGTCAGCAAACTCATGATAGAAATAGACACTTTAATAGGTAAAGCAAAAGATGCACACACAAGAAAAGCAAAACAAGGAATGAATTCCCTGCTTCCCAAGGGCAGGCAGGTGTTCAGCCACCTCCTGGAAAGAGAGACTCCATCACACACAGCAGTTACTGGGGAAATCAGTAACTCCAGATCTCTGTCCCCTCCCAGCTCCTTGTGCACCCCCAGCCCCTCATTGCTGGCTGGGGTGAGGAGCAGAAAAGGCCTCGACTGTGTGCAAGCACTGCTGAACAATAACAAAAACATCTCTCTGCTATCAGCACTGGTTTCAGCACAAATCCAAAACAGCTCCATTCCAGCTACTGCAAAGAAAATTACCCCAGCCAAAGCCAGCACAACTCTCTATTTGACTATTTTAACTAATAAAAATTTGCATTTCTTCTGTCCTCTTTTTGTTATAAAGATGCCAATTCCAACCCCTAGTTAGTAACTCCAGCCTCTGTAACTTGCTGAAGAGGTGGTGCCATACCTTATGCAGGCTGTCCCATGTTCTGAAAACGTGTGCTCAGTCATCCAGGAAAGCACCCTATTACCACTTTTTCCTTTCTTCCTTTTCTTGAAGTGGACAGGGTAATACAAAGTCCCTGTTGTTGAGATACCCTTGTGGCACAGGTGTTTTCTTGTGGGTGTTCACCTTCTTAAACACACTTAACAGTAGCTTTTCCTCTGTGCTTTGGCAGCAGTGAACACTCAGGAGACACAGTTTAGTGGCAGGGTTGGCAGTGCTGGGTTAATGGTTGGCCTTGATGACCTGAGAGGCTCTTTTCCAGCCTAAGCATGATTCCTTCAGCAGTAGCAGCAGTAAAGGTCAGTGAGTAAAGTAGGTACCTCAAACAGACACGGGACAGAGGAAGATTACACCAGGTTTAGTGCTTTACATGGATCCCTCCTGACTGGAACTGGTTTGGCTGTTTATTGTGAGAATCATACAACTCCCACAGCCTAGCTGAGGACAACACAGAGATGCAAATACCACTAAAGGCAAAAGGCCAGCCATGTCCTGAGGTGCATCAGGCACAGCATCTCCAGCTGGCCAAGGGAGGGGATTGACCTATTCTGCTCCGTGCTGGTGCAGCCTCACCTCAAGTCCTGTTAGCACTTTTGGGCACCACAATATAAGAAGGACAATAAACTATTTAAGTGTGTTCAGAGGAGGGTGGCCAACCTGTGAAAGGCCTCAGGGGGAAGACTCAGTAGGAGCAGCTGAAATCACTTGGTTTATTCAGCTTGGAGAAGTCTGAGAGGTGAACTCAACACAGCCCAGCAGCTTCCTCACACAGGAGGTGCTGAGCTCCTCTCTCTGGTGATCAGCAGCAGGACACAAGAAAATGGAATGAAGCTGCACCAGAGGAAATTCAGATTAGGTATTAGGAAAAGGTTCACTAGGTGGGTCACTGGACCAGGCTACAGGGAAGTGCTCATGGCATTCAGCCTGTCAAATATCAAGATTCATCTGCACAATGATCTTAATCATATGGTTTAGTTTTAGGTAGTCCTGTGAGGAGCAGGGAGTTGGAATTGATGATCCTTGAAGATTCCTTCCAGCTTGAGATATACTATGATTCTAAGTAAGACAAATGGAAAACATTAGCAACTCCATGGTCTGGCATTCCTAGAAGTAATTTTTGCTTCAGCATCAGGCTGAGGTAGAGGAACAACACACAGCAAAAAGGAACAATATACACAATATCCACCTTCAAAGCAGCTGGAGCTTGTTACAGAAATTAAGGGGAGGATGTGGCCACAATAGAAACTTCTGGGACTACTGGTGGGAAGGGAACTGCAGAGTTCAAACAAAAATTCATATAAGCACAGATAAATTGACAACAGCAGATAAAACAATTAATTTTATCTTTAAAAATCACTCTTTATATTGTAAGACAGGTATTGATAAATATTATTACAGAGAATTGCTGATATCTCATCCTTTACAAGTTGTAGGCTGTCAGACAGTCATCAGCCAAATAAAATAATGCCAAGAAGATTGTAATTTGGACTATAGGAAAGCCAATGAATTGCTGTAATCTATGCAATCTGTGCAATCTATGTAGATACAGCAACACAGAGGATGAGCTGAAAGATCTTTTTATTTGCTAAAGTCCAAGTATAATTTGTTTATATCCAGTAAAACCATTTTCTACCGTTACTGGCTGAGGAAGGTGGCCATGCAGCTTAATATTAACGCTTCAGTGACACCTACACACGTGCTCTTCCCAAGTGTGACAATGCAGAATGTCCCTCTACTGAAGCTCAACTTTGAGAACAAAATCCTTTATTAACACCTACAAGTAGAAGTTAAAGCTACAACTGTATAACAATCCTCTTCCCCTATAACAACTATAACATCACCATGATCAACTATAAAGAGGAAACTAAGGGGAGCATGAAAGATCTAAAGAGAAAGAGTAAGTTTAAAACAAATGAAAAAGAAGAAGGGACTGAAGAGTCAGAAAAGAAGGAAGCTTAATACAGGAGTCAGAAGAATGTGGAAAGAAAACTCTTCTCCCCAAAATCAAAATAGTCCATTTTCACCACCAGTGAAATCACATCCAGGAGGTATTTCAGTATTTGTGTTTCGAGGGTCAGCCACCTGGATGCATTCTGGAGGCATCTTAAGAATTTATTGGTTTGGAGCAGCTACAGCTGAACCATCACTGCTGGAGTAAGCCCTTAACATGATCCCTGCCCCAACATGGGCACTTCAAGAATGCTAGGAATTACAACACAGTTTTATAAATCCATGGTATAATTTACACCTTGTACCGTGTGTTCAGGTCTGGCTGTTCTGAGAGACTACCAGAGTGTTACAGACTTCTAGGAAGAATATCATCTACAGGCCTTGGTTCCACCCTTCCTATGCAATCCATACTAACTAGAAGAACGCAGAAACAAATTCAGATATATCTAGTTTTTAGGTAACTATTGTATAGCATGCACATCACAGGGTATATAATGTGACAGAGAGGAGGTTTTTACAAGCAAGTCAAGGAAATTCCAAGGTAAGAGTTTTTTAGGCTGTGGTTCCATGGCAACCCAAGCCAATCTAACTGGTTCTTTCACTCCCATTGCTCTCCTGACCCCTCTCAGGAGCTCCAACCCTTCCATTTCACTCCCTGTAGCACTCAGCTGACCCTTTGTGAGGCCACCTCGGCACAGAAACAAGGCAGAGCACCACACCGGCAGCTCTCCAGAACATCAAGGAGTTTTCTGATGCACTGGTGAATGGGAACAGCTCAGCTCAGGCTCAGATACACTGGAATCGGTGCTAGAGGCAAGAGGGATCAGCAGGCAGCTGCTCAGACCAAGGCTGCTGTGGAATCCCAGCCTGCACATTCATGGGACCATCAATATCTGTGGTGGGTAAGGAGCTATCTGCAAAGCAGCTGTTTGCTCTGCTAAAACCACGGCTGCTTCTTTGCAGGGTTTTACTCACGTGTCACCCGGCTCTGCTGTGTGACCAAGCACAGAAGGTTCGCCTCTGGGCACAAACCGACAATCCCTGATGAAATTTGTTTATTCCTTTGGTTCCTGACCTCAGCTATATGGGAGCACTGCCGCAGAAAATGCGTTTAAAAAAAACTTCACCCTGAACTGTCGATCACTGAAAGGTCAGTTTCCCTCCTGCCCCCAAACTGAAAAGCTATCTTTTAGGGCAATTGAAAGCAGGACACTGAACTTCACACGGACGTGTCTGAGGCATTAGTTCATCCCTCTGCCTTGCTGACTCCTTACCGGAGCAGATGCCTTTGGAAAGTAACATTTTGAGCCGCACACAGTTTGCCAGAGCTCATTTGTCAGCGCCCCGAGGCGAGCCTTTCATCTCCCAGCCACACAATGATAGCAGAGCTGCAGTAGAGGTGGCTGTATTTACATGCATGAGCAACCCAGTTAAAATGCATATTTCAGCTACAGGAACTCTCATTTGCTCACTACCAGCCGGCACAGCCATTCAGGAGGTGTCCAGAAAACTCAACCCATCTGCAAGGAGCCAGTCTTTGGAATCTTGCTGGAAACACACGCCTGTAACTCAAGAAGGTTCTCAGTAAAGGCAGGACAGTGCAGACCAGTCTTTTCGCGAACAGAAGGACATGACTTCTAGACAAAAAAAAACCCAACACACATACACAGCTTCAAAAGAAATTTTAAAAAATTATTTTTTTACAAAAATCAAGCTATCCCAGGCCTCTCAGTATGACTGATATTTTAAGTCCTAAAAAAAATTACTAAGAATTGTCACCAAAAAGGCAACAAAAGAATGTCGCACAAAACCAAAACTTGCTAAACAAAGCACATTATCCTCAGAGCTGGTCTTGATTTAAATGGAAAGGACTTTTATACATACCAGCACTACAGTTTATGAGAAACTCTCTACTCTTGGTTTTGTAATCCAAACATTCACAACACCCAGGAACTGTCTGTTTGAGGAGTCATAATGGGTCGAGCACACTGGCTCCTGCTAGAAGACCAGGCACTTCCACACAAGAGCACTCAGAGATGGCACTCAGGGCTTAAGATGCTTTTAGAATGGCAAAAAGTAATTGCATTCCCATCACAGGACTCCAAGAACACACCCCTGCATCTACCTTGGCACAGGACATAAGAACTTACCTTCACCAGAAACAAAGATTAAGTTCAACAACATGGGCCTGGACTTGCACGAAGGCATTCAACTCTGCTATCATGCCATGACCATGATTTTATTTGCTCAGTTCCCACAGAGTTCAGCTTTACATGGTCCAGTTTAAGCCCACATTCTCCCAAGAGCATTTATTCTGGTGGAGCCATACTGGGCACACACACAGGCTTGCATAATAAGCAGGGGTTAACTACCAGGCTTTGCATTCTGCTGAGTAACTAATCTGCAGCTAAAATACTGTGGCATCATTCTCATCTCAAAAATAACATTTCTACAGACTAAAAAGCCCACATCTGTCTCTAGTCTGTAGTGACTCAAACACTTCAGCCCAGCATCAGGGTGGGGAGGCTTATCTGAAAGCCAGCCTGAAGAGTCTACTTAGTCTAAAGATCTGCTTATGTGAAAGTAATTGGAGATGAAAGGAATGTTTTTATGTCATCCTCAGCAACAAAGACAATTCAACCGTTGCTTGTATTTAAATACCAATCCTTGAACTCTCAAAGCTCTTTTAACAGATAAGATCTCTGTAAACGAAAGTTGTGTTGAGTCACACAGCATCTACCTTTAAAGTAGTATCGGCATTTCAGAATAGACACCCGCATGTCTTGAAAAGCCAATCACTATTAACATAAGCAAGGAATTAGATGTAGTTCTTCATAGACTAGTTTCCTCTAAATTAAAAAAAAACAACAAAAAACCAACACTCGGGTACTGTGAGCACCCCTCTGCTGCAGCAGCCACAATAAACTGATTTTTTAATCACAAACCAGAAGACACATTCGAGTAGCTGGCAACATGATAGACCAACTCAGTGAATGTTTATTAGGGAAGTGATCAGTGTACATAAGCACACATACTCTCAGCAAGAGTACAGGCATGAGAGAAACAGAGCTTGAAATTCAGAGCTTCTCTGCTTCCCCATGAACACTGTATGGACATGGCTGAAAATTCCAGGACAGTTATGAAGCACCTATGTTTTTCTAAAGTTTCCATACAATTTAATTTTTTTAAGCAGCAGCTTTATAATATTTTCTTTTGTATTCTGCCTGCACAGAACCACTCTAGTTTTTTTCTGAGTATATGAAGAACAAGCGTAACAACACATACTCTTAACAAAAGTAGCAATAGTATTTCCCCAGGGTTTTAGGGAAGTAATTTCTGAATTTAGAAAAGTAGGAATGTGTTCCCTTGACTATTCTGCTTGAAAACAGTTGCTCTGATATAGTGCTGTAACTGCTCCTCCTCCAAAACCTACTGGAGTATAAAGCTGAAGCCTTTCAGCCACTTGGTACACCCAGTCTCTCTACCACTATATTGCAAATATTAGGAAAGTTATTTGGAGCACCAAAAAAAAATTTCAGTATTACAGTATCTCATGAAAGTTTAACAATGAACAGAGTCTAGCCTTCTCTCTGGCTTTATTTATATTTCAAAAGCCAATACAAAAATGTTACACACATACCAGTCACTGTTGCAGACTAGAATTCTGAGCAGTCACCAGGAATTTGGTGCTGCAGCATTTTCCAACAACTTTCTATGCAACATTCTATATTCAGCTGAAAGGGTACTCTAATGCAATATTCAAGCCTGGTAGTTTTTTTCCAAGCTTTTGGCAAATGTGGCAAGTCCACTGCTTCCCAGTAGCTCCATTATTTTTATGTAAGTGGCAGCAAGTAGCTACTTAAGTAGATTGTTTTGTTATATATAAATGCCACTACAAGTACGGTCCTGCTTTACTTTTGTGGCTTGGTTTAACCCCAAAAAAATCAGTTCTGAAAGCACCTAGTCATACCAATAGCCTAATTACATGAAAATGTTCATCTGTTTTCAAGTATGCAAGACCTAGTCAAAGCAAGTATCAATTTTAGCTACTGGATTTCCAAACAAAAAGCTTTTTTACAAGAGACAATTAAGGCTTCCATCAGCCTACCAGAGATTACTGTGAGAAACACATCTAAGACACAGGAGCATTGGTCTATTTCTGACAGTGGTATATAAGGATTTATTAAGCTATTTTCATCCATTTATTCATTTGGCTGACATCCACCTGCCACATGCAGCATTTGAAAATGCAGTTAACAAGCTGTTAGAATAAGGAATCTGGATAGTGTTTGGTTGGATATTTTCTATTAACATAATAGGTAAGAGCTTCTAGAATTTGTCCTGTTGATATACTTCAACTCTGCCTGAAGCA